TATACATTATCCCACTTAGAACATGGCTTACTACTAAAACATTCAGTGATGTGACACAAAATAATGATTAAAGCACGTTTTATTGATTCAAAATTCGCAAAAAGAAATGTGTCTGTACTCTGTATCCATGGCAAAGGCAGCCTAATGATAATATTGAATTCACCCTTCGCTAAGGCCCGCCTCCCTTAGTCCCTTAGTCCGACAAACTTGCGGTTTCGGAGCTAGACTGGCATGGCGCTCCCACTGTCGCTAACTGCACTCCCTGGAGAAATACTCTAAAATTTATACAAAATGCATTTGAAGGATATATTCAGGAAATCAGACTGACACAGCAACAAAATCAAGGTAACACAGTGTGTGCAGATGAACAGTGTTTAGCTTCACCCCCGTGCCGCTCCCAGCACAGACACACAGCTGGTTGAATATCAGCAAAGTTTCCCTGCTTCCCTTCACTGGTACCTGTACAGCAGGGTCGGCCTTTTTTCACTGTTATAATCATTAAAATGAAATTGTGGAGTTGTTGTAGTTTAAAATACAACTAGTGGGGCGGCACAGCTAAACTATCGTTCATTTTGTGATGAAAGCACCAAATTTGGTACACTCATTGCTGAATATATGTTGAATGAATCTGGATATTGGGGAATCGCAAAAACGCACCCTAGTTACCGTAGCAACCATTTATTCAATAAAATTAATCAAAAATATTTAAATGATTCATTACAATATTTTAAAAATTTAAATATGTATTAAATTAAGAAAAATACAGTTAGACACACTCACAGTTCACATTAAATTAAGAACAAGCGCAAATTTGCAATAGCTGCAACCTCATACATGCATGCATCCACACAACATGCATACACACAACCTCAAGAAAAGCAAAATTTTCATTTTGAAATGCTTAGTATAGCGCCACCTATGAATGAATCCTGGTCATTTTTTCTGACATAGTTACTCATGGTCTCTACTTGTAGTATGGAAATTTCGAACATTTTTGGTCAAGTACTTTTTGAATTATTCAAGAAAAGCTTTGTAGACTGACCAACTGACCGACCAACCGACCAACCAAAAATGGCTGCCAGTGGTTACCGGCATGGAATGGTTTGGCTACCCTATAGGTGCTGTTTCATGTTTTTAGTGCCACAAATATAATTTAGAGGCATATTAAAGTGGAAAAAGCTTTATAAAAATGTAATAGAACAGAACAAGAGCTTTTAAAAATGTTTTATTAGCTTCTCATTCACAGTTTACGGCCTCCTCTTTGGCTTGTCTTCCTGTGCTGTTCCTTAAAAAGCAAAAAATGAAAATATTTTAATCATTTGCCAGATTAGTGGGGCAGCACAGCTAAATATTTTTCTAGAATCGTTCAATTTTGTGATAAAAGCACCACATTTGGCAGATGTGTTGACAAATATATTTAGAACAAATCTGGATATTGGGGCATCAGAAACTCGCCCCCTGGTGGCCACAGCAGGCAATTGAATCCTACCTGCCCATGGACCCGTCCCGTTAATTGGATCCACTCCAAAATGTAATGACTTCTAAGTTGGACCATGCTACATGCCTCCACCAAGTTTTGTGAAAATCGGTTGGAAAGTTTTCACATAATCCTCATCCAAAAAATGAATGGAGGTGAATGGGCGGCCAGCTTTGCTTGACATGGAAAGAAGGCAGCATGGTCAACATGGAAGTCACTGCCAGAACTGACAGATGCACTACTGACGCTGGCCCAAAGGAGATCCCAGATGATGCAATGAGCCTTATTGAGAGGTTTGTCATACTTATCTTTGACAGAACCAGAAATATTTTTGATATTTTTGATTAATTTTATTGAATAAATGATTGCTACGACAACTAGGGTGCGTTTTTGCGATGCCCAAATTTTGTGCTTTCATCACAAAATGAACGATTTCCCCACTATACCACATATTGCCCCACTATACCACATATTGTGCATTTGGCGTCTTTGGCGTCATTAACCAACTTAAAATGACTCCACACTGCACTCCGTCTTGTCCGCTTCATCATGCTACTTCGTGTTTATGTTGTTCTCGTCAGAGCCCTGCTTCTCGTGTGTTCTTGCGTGTGCGTCAAGTACGTCTGGCGTCAAGAGCGCCCTCACATGGACTGGCTGGGAATTACGGGTTTAAAAATGCAATTAATTGCAATTACTTTATTTTAATCGAGTAATTTCTTATCGACAATTAATTGATAATCGATTAATTGTTTGCATCCCATATGTATAAAATAAACCTCCAACCTTGAGATTGACAGTCCACTGCATCGCAGAGGCCTCTACACCCAGAATATATTGGGGCAAGATGTGTAAATGCAGATTGTTTTCAGCCGCCACATTTATCAACACCTGATCATTCCTATGCTGTGATTGATGAGATAAGAATGTTTCATGCATCACACTAAAACCCTATCGTAAGATGATTTCTACGCTCAATCTGCGCTGGTTTGTAAGACAGGTTGATAAATGCAAGCCATATCTACACAAAAAACATACAGAGGTGAAACTGAAGGGATAAAAGTTAATCATCATCATTATCATTTTCATATTGAGACAACATGATCGATATCTTTTTGTGTCTGTACGTCCAGTGGCTGGGTCTCAGCGGTTAGCATTGCGCTTAGATGGGGTCAGTACGTCCTGCGCTGTGATCCGCGGAGGATACACCGATGAGCAGGCACAGGCACAGACGTAGCCTGTAAACAAAACTCAGTTGTTAATTTAGCCTAACGATATCTCTGGACTATAGTAGCTGCAATGGCCGACTTTGAACACGATTTTGAAGAGTTTCTTGAAGAGAGCGGACACAGATCCAGAGTCATACCTGTTTGAGCCGAAGCACACAGATGAGGAACTCCAGGTGTTGGATGCTGAGCGGGCGACAAGAGAGGCTGAATCCTCCGAAGCGGTGGAACAGCAAGGGGCCGAGGGGAGACGGAGGTCAGGGGAGGAGGACTGGTGGTGTAGCTGCGGGGCTTGCCAACCTATGCTTACAGAGGTGGAATCATTTTGCTGCACAGAATGGGATTCGGTGCTACCATCGTTGGGGAGGCTGGAGATACATCATCAGAAGGAAAAACCGCCTCAGAGAGTGCATCACAAGGAGTGAAAACTTTGCAGCAATCACTAATCCTGGCATGACTGAAACTTTTTTCATGTTCCTAAGATAAACTGGAAAAAACGCCCCAGGCCTGCAGGAGCTGATGGACAACTTTCAGTCGAGTGAGTAATATCGTCTGTGTCGTCTCTTTGTTTGGTTTTACCGAGTGACCTAACGTACCTGTCCCAGAGCCAGCTGCAGCTGTTGCTCACCAGTGTATCCCTCCGCGCAGGACGTAAACACACTATACTTCCATGTATCAAACTTCTTCTAAACTCGACTAAAAAGGACTCTCGTTTTTTTAATTAATGTTTAAACATGCTTGTTTTAAATGCACGTGCAGAAAAAACAGCTTCAGGGTTTCTGTAACATTTATTTGTTCACTTTTACCGAGTAGGGTACTGATCCCCTGTAAGCGCAATGCTAACCGCTGAGACCCAGCCACTGGACATAGTCATAAAAAAGATATCGATCATGTTGTTTCAATATGAAAATGATAGAGAAAGGGCATAACTCCCAAATCGTCGGAGTAAGCCTTTAAAAGAGGACCTATTATGCTTTATATTTATTCTGCATTTTCAATGCAGGAGTATTTCAGCAGTGTGGTATAAGCACATTTACTAGGGTAAAGGATTTAAAGTGTACCTTTGCTTTTTAGGTTTTTCCCTCTTCTTCAATGTTTTATGTAGCATTCTTATACATCTATAAGGTCTGCAAAGTAAAAAAGCCCTAAGCTGAGGCTAAAGGGAGCTCTCTGTCCCCACAGAGACAGCTCCTCAGCTGCCTGAAATGCCTCGTTTGCATTCCTGCCCTTAATTCCATAACTTGGTTGCATCACTATGTAACACATTATCTATGCACACAATGCCCGTCTGCAGGCCACTGAGCCACCCCCAAAACGAACCCACTTAGAGCAGAGCTGGAGCAGAGGCTGCAGAGAGTATGTAATGTAGTAATTGATTATATTGTTAGAAACCTTTTGTATTTCTTTGCAGCAGACTTTTACAACTTTAGTCAGTCAGCAGACATACACTTGTTACAATGATGTAACACCAGATAAGTTACAGTTATCATGTTACAGCTGAAATTTAAGACAGCTACAAAATAAAAACTTACCACTGTTAAACATCCTGCTCCAGTCTTTGGTGGTTCAGGTTTCTTGGCTTCTGTTTCCTCACTTTGAGGGTGCGACTGCGGCTTAAAGTAACAAGGGATAACTGATGGCCTTGTTAGCTTAGTGGTATTTTTAACTTTTCATGTAGCCTCCAGAGGTCAAAGTTAGTTTAGGTTAGGGGCGTGACATTTCCGATACACGCTCTAAGCATTGCACCAATCACAATAGACTGAGCAAGCTGACAAATCACAGCAGACTGGGCTGCTGGGGAGGCGGGACATAAGCCCAAACAGTGTTTCAGACAGAGGTGCTGCAGCAATGGGCAGTGTAAGAAAAATGTGTTCCTTTTATATTAAAGCACCTAATTATATTCCACTAAACAGCAATATTACAAGTATGACCCCAAAAATGAGCATAATAGAACTTCTTTAAGTGAAAATAGGTAAGTGGTCAGACTTCCTTTTCAGTTTTGCTGGCAGCACTGAAGGAGAGCAAAGCAGAGATGGTCTGTTTTCTGTTTAACAGGTAAGTGATGGTGGTTAGCTTAGTTTACTTGCTAAAGTATCAGCTTTTCCATGACAACAATGGAACATTCCTATAATGTACGTTCAAGCAGAGAAAGAGAAGTCTGAATGTTCTGTCTATGAACAGTAACCAACAATGTCTGCTCTCATTGGGGTGGGGGGCTGTTTCACATTAAAGTAATTTCCTAAACCCTTCACTGACATTTTACAGCTACTGCATTTCGATGAATATCATGTGTCTCAGACCTTGGCCTCAGTTTCCCCACGATGCAGGGTGTAGAGATGGTGAATGGCGCTTTGTGAGGACGCCCATGGGTGGGTGAGAATCTGGAAGACGTGGAAATCGTGGCCCAGAGTGTCGGCAGTCACCAGCAGCATCCCTACAATAAACACATATACAGTCATCAACATTAGGATTCACTCCCACAGCTGGAACAACATAAACTGGTTATCATCAGCCCAACTTTAAGTTGCCCACTATGGTCTTTATGTCATTGTGCTATCAGTTTAGAGTAGTTTATGTGTAGTTTTTGCTTTCACATTAATATACAGTACAGGCCAAAAGTTTGGACACACCTTCTCATTCAATGCGTTTTCTTTATTTTCATGACTATTTACATTGTAGATTCTCACTGAAGGCATCAAAACTATGAATGAACACATGTGGAGTTATGTACTTAACAAAAAAAGGTGAAATAACTGAAAACATGTTTTATATTCTAGTTTCTTCAAAATAGCCACCCTTTGCTCTGATTACTGCTTTGCACACTCTTGGCATTCTCTCCATGAGCTTCAAGAGGTAGTCACCTGAAATGGTTTCCACTTCACAGGTGTGCCTTATCAGGGTTAATTAGTGGAATTTCTTGCTTTATCAATGGGGTTGGGACCATCAGTTGTGTTGTGCAGAAGTCAGGTTAATACACAGCCGACAGCCCTATTGGACAACTGTTAAAATTCATATTATGGCAAGAACCAATCAGCTAACTAAAGAAAAACGAGTGGCCATCATTACTTTAAGAAATGAAGGTCAGTCAGTCCGGAAAATTGCAAAAACTTTAAATGTGTCCCCAAGTGGAGTCGCAAAAACCATCAAGCGCTACAACGAAACTGGCACACATGAGGACCGACCCAGGAAAGGAAGACCAAGAGTCACCTCTGCTTCTGAGGATAAGTTCATCCGAGTCACCAGCCTCAGAAATCGCAAATTAGCAGCTCAGATCAGAGACCAGATGAATGCCACACAGAGTTCTAGCAGCAGACCCATCTCTAGAACAACTGTTAAGAGGAGACGAATCAGGCCTTCATGGTCAAATAGCTGCTAGGAAACCACTGCTAAGGAGAGGCAACAAGCAGAAGAGATTTGTTTGGGCCAAGAAACACAAGGAATGGACATTAGACCAGTGGAAATCTGTGCTTTGGTCTGATGAGTCCAAATTTGAGATCTTTGGTTCCAACCGCCGTGTCTTTGTGAGACGCAGAAAAAGTGAACGGATGGATTCTACATGCCTGGCTCCCACTGTGAAGCATGGAGGAGGAGGTGTGATGGTGTGGGGGTGTTTTGCTGGTGACACTGTTGGGGATTTATACAAAATTGAAGGCACACTGAACCAGCATGGCTACCACAGCATCCTGCAGCGACATGCCATCCCATCCGGTTTGCATTTAGTTGGACGATCATTTATTTTTCACCTCTTGAAGCTCATGGAGAGAATGCCAAGAGTGTGCAAAGCAGTAATCAGAGCAAAGGGTGGCTATTTTGAAGAAACTAGAATATAAAACATGTTTTCAGTTATTTCACCTTTTTTTGTTAAATACATAACTCCACATGTGTTCATTCATAGTTTTGATGCCTTCAGTGAGAATCTACAATGTAAATAGTCATGAAAATAAAGAAAACGCATTGAATGAGAAGGTGTGTCCAAACTTTTGGCCTGTACTGTATATTAATCATTTTGTATTGTATGCTTCATTTAGTATTTGCTAGCAGTCCTGAATGTTTAGCCTGTTAAGAGCATCCTGATGACATGAGCTAAACATTCTCTTTCGCTCTCTGTATCAGTCTGGATTCGGTGCTGCCCCAAACACATTCAGTGGGTTGGAGTACTCGCCTTGACAGACAAACTCATTTAGCTAATCAGTGTAACAAAACACCAGAGAAAATCTTCTTTATCATCAGTGGAGCCAGTTGATAAACCAAGCTTTTGCCAAGTCCAGTCAGAATAACTGCAAAAACATATTTTCCTCCGAGAAACTCCGAGCACATACTCTTGTTCTTGTTTAATCGTTGTTATTGACAATTTTTGCAATAACTTCTATTATTGCTGCATTTACTCTACTAACGTTATAGTTAGTGCTTGTTGCTTCAGGAGCCGCCTTTACTGTTCTGCAAGCTATGGCTGGCATTTTATGTCAACAACTACAACACAGTCTCTTATTGGCTGCCAACATTGTCAACTATAGTGCGGATCCCTGATTGGCCCTGATTGGATTTTGATTTCTGGAAACCGCTTGGGGCAGCACAGAGTCAAGACTGATACAGAGAGCAAAACAGAATGTTGAGCTCAATTCATCAAGATGGCCTCAGGCCACCTAATGTTACCATGTCTAGTACAATTTGTCTGCATCAACACTGAGACTAAACCTCTGTAGGACACATGTTAGACGATATGACAGAATTACTGTGCCTTTAAACAAACAAACCAGCCCATTAAAACAAAGCCAGCTATCTTTTCTTCATGTCATAAAATGCAGCCTTCCCTTGTATAATAGCTCAGTCTGGTTAAAAGCAGGGCTCAAGCCGTATGCTTCTTTAAGGAGAGACGAGATGATGAGTGTCTGTAAATACCTCCATGTATGGTCATGGGTGTGTGTGTGTGTGCGCGCGTGTGTGTGTGTGTGTGTGCGCGCACACACACTGAGATTCACCCGCACAGTGTAATTCTCACTAACAGGCCCATTCATTTAGTGCCATTTTATTTGAAGCTCATCAAACTCCAGAAAGTATAGGCCCTCACCGTAAACAACATGCTCAACAAACCACACCAGAACAAACCCAGATCTAAACCGGTTCGGTTAGGAAAAACGCCGCACTGCTTTTTAAGTGCAACCCAAAACCCATCCCATAAGCCTTTTGAGATGTTACAAACAAACCCATAGATTGGGCAGTAACTCAAAATGTTGGAAATGCATCACTGATACAGAGTGTAAGATTCGAAAAAAAAAAGTCCAAACCTCTGTCTCTTTGACGACTCCCAGACATAAATGATATTAAAGTAATTAGTAATTTTCCTCTGAATTTTTCCCCATTGGATATTTTATGTGAAGGCTGCAGTAGGTTTTAATTAGTGGCCAGGCTTTATTGGGTGGCATGTTAAATGTGAAAAGAGGAGCCTGGTATGGCATGAGATTAAAAGGATTCAGCAACACATGCAAGGGGGATGAAAAACACTCTCTCTTGAGAAAAAAGAGCCAAGTGTGCTACAAAATTTTACACAATTACTTAGAACAGTTATATTTACAGATGATGAAGAGGGGAGGTACAGAGTGGATGAGCGATGGGGTCATGGAGATCATCATAGGTAGTGGGAGGAAGGCAGAAGAAAAGCCAAGTGAAGTGTAACATTAAGACAGTCATTGGCTATTCATGCTGTATCAGAGCGACCAGAAAGCCAGAGAGCGAAGGCCCAAGGCCTGTAAACTCTTGAAAACCCACGCCCCAAACGAGGTGCCAAGCCACAAGAAGCATTTGCGTCAACTGGGAATACAGAGAAAAAAGGGACAGGGCCCTTCTAATTATAGAGTCTGGAAACGGAAGCGCAGGGTGATTAGGAGTTGAGGCGCTGCGGTCTGTTTATCTGGGAGCTTCCTCTCGCTCTCGAACCCTCTCTCCCCCCACACTCTGCTCTTTCTTTCTTTCTTCCTTCTTTCTCTGTTTTGGTCAGGCCCCACCCTCCCAGTGGCTGGAAAGTCTGGCCCCTGGGTTTCTGACAGATGAGACTTGGCCGCTGTGTTCTGGCAGGGTCGGCATTTCTCTTCTGCTGATGGTAGAGTCTGGACTCCAAAAAAGTAACAGCTCAAAAAGGCTGGAGAGCTTTGTGAGCACAAGTGCCCGAGGACTGAGGACTGGGGCTTTTGTGGCCTTGTTGAAATACAGAGGCCCTCGCCGAGAGGCGTCAGTCGGTTAGCCCGCAGGATAGCCAAATTAAAAAGAAGCTGAGCTGCTCAGCGGGTGAAAAGAGAGGGTTTCGGGGAAACCAGAGGCTGGCCGGAGCAGGGTTTGACACGTCCTATTTATAACACCTCGTCCCAGGGGTTACAGTGTTATTTACGATGTTTTAGTACCAAAATCGCTGGCACACGCACTTAGACATGCGCTAAACTGGAAGGGATGACCTCTAATTTGCCATGTGTGCGAGACATGCATCCGCATGGGACATGAGGGAAGTGATATAATCATTTCCATAAATATCTGCTTTTGATTTCTCTTTTTTTTTTCCAAAAAATCTCTGTTTTGTTTTGCTTCAGGCCTTAGTGTCCCATCTCTGACCATCCAAACAGAAAACATCTGGTCAGTCCCATTAATTGGGGGGGGGCAGGAGAGACTGAGGACTGAGAGAGAGAGAGAGGGAGAGAGAGAGAGAGAGAGAGAGAGAGAGAGAGAGAGAGAGAGAGAGAAACAAAGAAGAAATGCAGAGAGCAACAAAGAGGGCCGTGATTTCCCTACTTGGCAACACAAAAGGCCACAACAAAACTAGTCCACTTTTTAATTAACAACACTAGGCACAAAATAGCTTTGAAAATCAGGAAAATCTCAAATTATAACCATGTGGAAGGCATAAAGCTTACAAGATGGAGTACTTGGGGGACTTACTGTTAGCAGGATGCATAAACTTCAGAGCAAATGAGCCCAACACACAAATGAAAGAGTATCCATCACAAGACGAGGCTTTGTCTTCAGAGCTGCCAACTTGGGGGGAAGGACAGGACTCTTTGTGCCTGTATGTACACATATGCTGGGAATATACAATAGATATTCACTATGCATTCTATATACACAGCTAGCCAAACTATTGGTGTTGCCATGGGTACTTCGACCACCTAGGAACCATTCACAATCATTTATCTACCCACATTCCTCCCACAATACATACACCAACCACAAATCCACCTGCATCTATTGTTATAATTTGCAGTTTCAACTGGAGATTTTTTAAGACCAGCATCTTGAAATCAGTCAAGAAATCTAGTGGACATTCCTCAGCAGAGTGCTGAGAGTTAGACCTAGAAACTATAAAATACTGTGATGGTTATAAACTGTTATAACAGTTATAGTCAAGTCAAAGATTATTAAGCACATGTTGTGTTCTAACCAGTACAAATC